AATGTATGCTTCTTTGAAGTTACATAATATTTCGGTTTTCTAGTTTTTACAGAGTAACATTTGATGTTCTAAGTGCTAGATTTTTCTGTGTTAATCCATGGCTGTGCAAAAGCATCAAGACTGTTCTTTGATGTCACTTTCATCTGCTTTATGAAATCTATGACTCACTGCAAAATTTTCGATGTCACTTTGCAGCTCTTGGCTCTACATTTGTGAACACTGTCAAATTTAAAACGAAAAACATCAGCAAGATTTTAAAGTTTTTTAGGTAACAAACATTTTCTTTCTACAAGAAGATATGATGGAATGGAGACTAATCATAGATGCTTTTATGTATTTAATAAACTTGTTCATATTATGATGGATTTTGTGATTATAACTTTAAGGAGTTAGCAAATTTATTCTTTAAAGTCTTAACAGTAAATTTTTAGGACTCTCTTCTCTTCTGTTTAACTGAGACTGTAGGATAAAAACAGACATGGAACAACATAAAACAATGAGTATTCTTGTGTTCAAACAAACTTTATTTACAGTAATGGGCTGGCTTCGATAAGAGGGTCTTCGTTTTCTGATCTCATCACTAAATTTATCAGGTAATGAAGTTGGCCTCTTTGAAAAAAACAAAAATTCATTTTTTTCCAAGAAATGAGAAATGGAAAAAAATCTCATCAAAGATTACCTCCAAATATACACACATTGGAAATTAAATATCATTTGTATGCAATTATTTTCTCTAGAGATCACCCTCAAATACTTGCTTCAATCTTTTAGTTTGACATTTCTATTATTAAAGTAATAAAAATACAAAAATATTGCACTAATAATAAAGTATGACTGAAGTGTATAGAAAACTTTCTTTATGTGAAAAACTTTAAATATATACTTTTAATAAAAATTATATTTTATATATAATATTAGGTTTGTGACTGCTTGACTTTCCATTTTTGTTCAGTTTAGAAACCGAGGTAACCTAACCCATGTAACCTAACCCAGGTAACCCAACAATAATCATATAAATAAGAGGAATGCAGTTATTAGAAACACTATGACTTCAGAATTAGAGGTAAGAAGCCAATCAAGTTGATTTCAATCAAGTGTGTACAATCATTTGTCCATGATGATATTCTTTCATTAACATATTTGAAATGGAAATGCTTCCATCATTAAAAACCCTTAGTCCTGAATAAAACAGTGAGTGTATCTGGAATGGTTGTTGACACTGACACTTGGGTATCAGTAGTGACAGCAGTAGTGAGTGCTTATTAGAGGAATAATAATCTGAACCATAGCTAAATTAAGTCATCTTATACTGGACCCCTATTTACTGTTCAGCTGTCCCTGCCCTATGCCTAAGTTATGTGCCAAACTGCAGCATGGCACAGTCAGCTGCAACTGTGGCTGGTCAGTGCTTGCTAAGGTCAGCAGAGTTCCTGGAACAGAAGGTCATGGAGTGTAGCATATATAACTCTGCCTAGAACTTCTATTTATTACTTCTGCTTTTTAATGTTTACTGTAGAACCCTATAAAACTAGTAGCTTAGCAGAAGAGGGTAGACAAATGTTATAGTACTGGACCATGCAAAGCATTCACTGCCCCATAGGGGAGTAACACTAAAAAGCTCGTTTACTGTCCAACTGAAGTCACTTAAGTCATTCCTTAGACTGTGAGGCTCTCTCAGTTTGGGGTAAATATTTTGCCTATATTTCTCCAGAAAGTTTAATGATCAGTGGCCTATCAAATTCCTTCTCACCAAGTAGACATTGGGTAGGTCCTGTTGAAATACAACTAAAACATAGTTTCTTTACTAACAGTCTTCGAACTGGAGAATGCATCTTTTCAGTTCCACCTTATTGGAGCCAAAGATTATGAAATATGATTCTAATAATTGGAAACCATAAATTGTCATCAAGCCATATAATTAATAAAATACTAATTTCTTAATTTTTATGTTTTATACCAATCACAATTCTAAAACAAATAATTGCTTAGAAAAAAAGAAAAAAGAAAACATACATAGTACTTATACTCTGCAAAATTATAAGTGATAGAAGTATAAAAATATATACACAGTTCATAACTAAAACTCTATCATTCTACATATGCATATATATACATATATGTGCAAAATGTATATATATATATATATACAGATATATGTATTTGTAATATATGTATATGTACAAACTATATACACACATATACAAAGTATTCTAATACAATAGGTATATGAGAACTCATGATAAAATTAATTATGCATATTTTAAACAATCACTGAGCTTTCAATCATCCCAAGTCATAGAGCTACTAATTGGCAAATTCAGAATTAGAATCTAGGAAGTCAGCTTTAGAATTCATGCTGTTACTATCCTCTTTCACAATTTTATTAAATCTCTCCATTTCCAAATCTAAAACTATTAAAACTGCTATTTTTAAAGGAAATACTCAATATAGGCCTAAATTACATCACATAGTTTCTAAATACTCATATAGCAGTGCATATGCATGAAGTTATGATGAGACAAGACTGTTTCTAGGGAGAGATTCATTGTTTACAGATCTATACTTGACACATAAAATTCTTTGCACCTTGTCTCCTACTCAAGGTTCATGTAATACTTTCGGAAATTAAAATGACTTAGATAAGTTAGAAAATAAGTCATCAGAACCAAATGCTAATTTATCATTCACTTGCACCATGAAAATAATAATGTATGTCTTTTTCAAACAACTAGCAATAAATATTGTAGAAGCAATATACATTTCAGATCCATCATTTATGCCTCTTTCAGTAAAAAAACAGTGAATTCACATAACCAAAATGAACTTCTCCTCTATGTTTTCAATTAATAGGGTTTTAATGTGTTTATAAAATATCTGGCTGAATTTAGTGAAACAGCCAATTAAGAACCAGGTGCTGCTATTGTATAAATAGCCTAAGATGTGGATTGCATTAATTACAGTTAGTCTCTATCTGAGTTCCAAACCATCCTAGTAAAAACAGAATACAGAGTATTGCCCATTTTCTTAATTTAAATCTAGATGGTGTTTTAATATCTCATTACAATTTTAAAGGATGGAATCAAGTTCTCTAAGGCATGCAGAGCTCCTTGGTAATTTCACATACAAGATGGTATTAATAATAAACTTTTATTTCCATTCATTTTTTCTCATTAATTCATTCTTCTAAATTTTAGATTTTGCAATGGGATCTTTTTTCCTCCCCCTGTTACAGATGTTTGGATTCTCTAATCCCCTAAGGTATCAGGGGTATGCATATCCCATCTGCAGTGACAAACATATCTGGTGATTAGAATTTCATATAAAGCAAAATACTAATACATCATTAAGCCTACAAAATATTTAGTCCTCCATATGTTGTTTGTGCTTCAGATTTCTCAAACATATTGCTATAAAATACAATTCAGAATAAATAATAGATTAAAGTGAAGGCAAGAGCAAAGAGTATTTGGATTTTGAAAACTGTTTTATACTGTGTTTGTATGAAGTATGCTATTCAACTCTCGGCATTCCTTACTCCCAGACATGAACTCTGAATATTCAGTCGATGAGGTTTGCATAAGATATTGTCGAATAATACATTTGGCATCAAAAGGAGCTTAATTTCACATGGGCGGGAAAAACTCATTAGAAGTTTCCTGAGTGGGCATTAATTGCCATCCGTCTTACACAAAATACTCTGCTTTCCGGAGTTCATGCAATGAAGTAAAGACCCTGTTTGCTAAGAGCTTAAATGCAACCTTATGTTTCACTGCATCATTTAAGAAATAAATCAGTTGCAAAGAAAACCTACATGCATTTTATTGCTCATAACAACCCCAAAACCCCAAAGGTAAAATGAATCTAAAATAAGAAGCTTCAAAACAAAAAGAACAAAATGCTAAAAAGAAAAAAAAAATATTTCTCAGTAGTACTGTATTCAAGGCATACAATGACAGCTAGAAAAGGACTAGTAAAAAAAAAAAGCACTAATTATATGAAAAAGGACTACAAAGGCAAGTCTAAAATTTGGACTATCCAGTAATTAACAACAGGTAATGTGCACAGTTTTCAGTTTTGACTTTAATATCATTTGTTTTCCTTTCTACTGTGTTTCTCAGCCACTGTGACAATTTTCCTTTGTTTCTATTTTTTCTGTGATTACTTCAGTTAGGGAATAGGAAAATAAACATTAGAGGGTTTCAAGTCCTACTGAAATAATGTAAATGATACATTTTACCAGAACTATATGCCAAAAATCAAAAAAAAAAAAAACATATCCAAAACTCATGACCTGAGTATTTTAGTTTCAAATATGAACAAAAATATGACCCTTGAGAGTAAGAAATTTAATATTTTTCTTATTTAATGAAGACTTGGACCCTCCTGAGTAAAACCATTTTAGGAATATTTTTCATTAGACAAAACAAACCAAAAATGAGAAAGACCTTTCAGGTCAGAGAGACCAACCCCTGGAGACGACAGAGGGCAGAATAAATACGCCAGTGTTTTGTCCCCTTGAGTGTGAGAGTTCCGAGTCTTAGGCCAGCTGCTGACCTTTTATTTACAGTGTTATTTATTATTCATATTTTATTAAATATTTAAAATGCCACCTATTGTATTTGATGACTATTATGAGAAGAAAAGGTCCCTGTTCTTCAGATCCAGGTAGTTAATATCCTTGCCTTGGCATTAATTATATGGCATTTCTTTTGTAGTTCCTGAAGCTTCATGCTTGTATTGAACAGTGAGCAGCTGCAAAGCCCTTGGTAGAAACCACACTTCACCAAGAAGATGGCGAACCTCAGGAATAACTTCTCTGGACCACTTGGTTCTTTCACAGATACATCATTTCCTATACTTATTTCAGCAATACTACTGGCAAATGATATGAAAAGTGATTACCATAAATAAAAGCAGCAAAGTCTCCTAAAACAAATCAAACATAGTGTGGACCTTTCTTAGAGGTACTTTATTATTTATTTTCTAGCATTTCTATGGCCGAGCTCGCTTTGGCAGCACATACACTAAAATTGGAATGATACAGAGAAGATTAGCATGGCCCCTGTGCATTTCTATGGCCACTGTTATTAAATGAAATTTATTAAACCAATAGATGCTCACATCTTGCCTTGAAACCCAACTGTTTCAATTGTGTAGAAGCTGGAAGGTAACCAGAAGGGAAATACCATTCAAAATATTTAATTATTTGATGTTTGGACCTATAATGTCCCCAAGAGGTCATGTGTAAAGGGCTTGGTCATCAACCTGTGGCACTGCCGGGAAGCAGTGGAACCTGTAAGAGGTTGGACCCCGTGGAAGTAGATGAGGAACTAGGGACCTGGCCTTGAGGGTGCTCTTTGGACCTGGATCCTCCTTCTCTTTCTGCTTCCTAGCCACCATGAGGTGAAAAAGCTGTCTCTACCACACTCTTCCTGCCATGATATACTTCTTGGTATAAACCAAGATCAACATAGCCGAGCAGCTATGAAGTTACAGCTTACATGGAGCTGGCCCCCCAAAGCTTTACGTGGTCATGTGGGGCTTTCCAGAGGTGGATGAATCAAGGCTGTGCAAATGGAGATGAGGGGTGTGGTCCTGGGATTAAGGGTGTGTGGTACTAAATTAGTCCACTGATTGGAATTAGTATGGTTCTGGTTGTGGCTGAATTTGCTGAAGACAAAAGCCCCATCCTAGCTGTGGGTGGCACCCCTTAAAAAGACTAGCAGCCTGGATGGTATACTACTGCTTCTTGCATGCCAGGCCATTTTCTGTTTCTTGCTTGCCATGAGCTTGGATTTGCAGTCATAGGACTGTGAACACACTTCTCTACAAACTGTAAGCTAAAATAAAAGTTTCCTCTTTTACCTGTGGGTATCAGGTACTTTATCCCAGCAACAAGAATGTAACTAAGGTATGTGGACTACAAATGCTGAAATTCATGGCAAAAATAAATATTTTTTCCTCAAATGTGAATTTTCTCAGGTATTTTGTGATAGTGAGGAAAATGTCAGTTACATAATGCATTTGCTTATTTCCTAAGTTTTGAATCTAGTTGAGGAACTCCTATTGTCACATGAAAAGAAAAAAGAAAAGCTCCAAATTTTATCTTAAATTTAACTGAAGAACTAGGCAAGACAATTTTCTAAGGAAGACAAACATTTGAGAGATCAATGTAACGATAACAAAAGGCATTAAGACAATCTATCAAGAAAACAACGTCTTAAATTGTGATGCCAGAAATTAACATTTTCCAGTTACAGAGAAGCAAAGGAGTACAGGATGTTTGTGACAGAGATGAGCATCCTCAGGACATGCAAAGGCAATCCAGAAGCAATGCTGATAACTAGTCAGATAAGGAACAGTACAATGCTAATACTACGTTTGGTTTAAACATTTTGAGGTGTCCGCATAGACACTGTAATGCATTTAAATGCATTCTGCCGTATGCTGCAACTGTTTCTATAAAGATTTATTAAAATGTCAGCTTGGCCTTGATTACACTGTAGGTGCTAATGGAAATGGTCTACAAAGGGAAATAGAATCTGTCACCATCCTAGGTCCAGGGATTGGTGAGAGGAGCCAGTATACAGAGGTTATGCATAGACCTCCATCCAGGACAGAGAGAGAACTGGGAGAACCAAACTCCCAGGACTTCTCAGGGATTAGCCTGTGTGAAGCAACAGATAAAATAGGCAGCAAGCAGATGAAGTCTTTAGAAAGATTTGAAGAATAATTTTCCATCCCACCCAACTTCTTACAGTAAGAAAAAAAATTGTGTGCAAGATCAGTCATCATGCTTTGGATTATGCTGTATCTTTTTTGGCTGCTCTGATTGCTACTTTTCATTCTTCAAATCACTTTCTACATGGCTCCCAAATGTAAATTTCATTTATTTTCTCCCTCTTTTGTGTGTCACATCTCTAACAACTTGAAAGGAGTCTGACATCAGTTTTGATTTCTTAACATCTATTTTCTACTGATTCAGAAATGGTAATGAAATCCTTTTTTTATTTTAAGAATTAAATCTTAGATCATTCTCTTATTATTTGTGTGACCTTGGAAAACTGAATATATCTGAGACTGACATTCCTCATGAATTTTATGGAAATAAAAACTAGGGCATACATAGATGTTTTTGATAAGTAAATGAGGTGAATTGGGTAAAGCACTTGGCAGAGTGCCTAGCATACAGCCTATTAATATTAGTTGCAATTATTATTAATTATAATTAGTCAGATGATGATAAATATGTATCTCCAACCATAGTATTTATACTCTATCTCAGCTTTTATTTCCAACTTTTGGCTCATTATATCTTACTTTTTTACTGCATATTCAACATTTGTAGAATCAAACTCCCATTTTTAACTTTTGAAACTGAGCTACCCATCAAGTTAGTCTCTAATGAGATTCTGTAGCTATCAGCAGCATATCCAAATATTACTGCTATCTTTTTCTTTCCATAATTCACCCCATCTCTGTAGTGGGCCCGATGCCCCTTGGCCTCAAGTCCAACAATTGCCTCCTCACTCTTCTTCTTTTTATTGGAGAAATTAAATATTGGAGAAATATTAATATTCAACAACCATTCATCTTTGTCTATAGACAAAGTTGACAGCTTTCCAAGTTTACAGTGGCCCTAAAAGTAAACTTTATTCTCCTTATAAAGTTAGCTCCAGTCATCATTTTCAGGTTTGCCTGTTTCCAGGAAAATATTTAGGCTCTCAGGCCAGGGATGTAGCTCATTGGCACAGCATCTGCCTGGTAAGTGTAAAGTCCTAAATTTGATTCCTAGTACATTAAAGAAAGAAAGACAGAAAGAACGATAGATAGATAGGTAGGTAGGTAGATAGATAGATAGATAGATAGATAGATAGATAGATAGACAGATAGACAGATAGATGCATAGATTGATTGATTTAGGCTCCAGTGAAAAACGAATCATCTCTGAACCCACACACTTCCATACCAATAATTTTATTCTCTCTTTCGGAAAAGTACTCATCAGTGAAGAACTGTGAAAAACAGTAGACACCCTTTAAAGATTATCTGTAACAAAATAATATTTAGGCAAAGCTTTTCTTCAGTTTCATATTAACTTGACCAGTGATTTCTGAAATTTCATTTTTTTTTTATTTCTTCTGCCACTTCATTGTAACATGGAGATGGATATTTATGTCTCCATTGTTTCCTCCTTTTGTCTCCACTGAGTTTGAGGATTTAGAGGAAAGCTATAAATTTTGCATTTACATTAGTTTCCACACAATGTGCCTGGTTGACATTCAGATGTTTGATTCGTTGTGTGCCCTCATCACTTAAAAAGCTCTCATAAAAAAATTTCTCATGCAACCTATTCAAGGTTATTGCTAAATGAAAGAAACATGCATTTCATTAAATATATAAGCTCTAGGTAGCAACTTCCACCAAATTATTGAATATTGCTTCTTAAAAAACATAAAAATTCAAAGGAAACTACACATTTTTTAACAAAGCAAAATATCACAAAATAGAAATATAAATGTAATGTCTGATACATTGTGTCAACTTGAGAAGTTTAAAGTTTAACTAAGAAATTCAGCAGGGGCCCAGCTCTCCTACTTTGTAAACATCCTCATCCTGTACAAGAGGGCACAGAGATGGTGTGAGTGCTAAACCTGCCCTAGGGCATGCTGCCTACAGAAAATATAAAGGAGGAAATGAGGCTTATTCTTCCCCCATTTTTGCTCTTGGTTCTGCTGTTTTCTACAGCCTTAAACTGTTCCCCCGCACCATGCCACTTTGTCTTCGAATGAGCTGGTTACAGACTGAAACCTCCACAAACTGTGAGCTAAATAAACCTTTCTTTCCATAATTTTGGGTGTCAGCTGTTTTGACTCAGCAGTGAGAGAAAAATAACTAACATGATATGTATCTTATTGCTTGAAGCATTTAATTATTAAAATATAAAGGTTCAGATTCGAGTTGTTTTCTGAAGCCAGAGAAAATTTGCACATTATTTGGAGCTGACAACTTAAACATTCATAGTAAAAGTGGTTTGAAATAGATTCAGAGAAGGATACCTAAGAACAGCTTTGCTCAACTGAGGTCTGAGATGCTCTCCTGGAGACAAATTTGTAGTTTATATTTTGGTTAATTTTCTGACAAAATCAACCAAAAGAAATACATACATTTTCCAGAGAAATATAATTTCTGCACCCACAATTCTCACAAAATATAGTCACCATATAAAATGTACAACCCAAAGTTACCCGATCCATGAAACACTAGGGAAATATCATTAATGCTAAAGAAAAAGAAAAATCATTGAAAACAACTTTGTTAAGTCTCATATATTGAAATCTTTAATGATATTCAAAAGTATGAAGGATAATTTTCTGCTGTAAATAGAATCTTAGACTATTTCAAAATAGAAAGAAAAACGCTCTATAAATAATAAAATGGAAATTCTTAAAAAATTTTATGATTACTAGTTGTGTTCAACAACACAGTAGCAATAGCAAGGAAAAAGTCAACAATTGTTGTAATTAATAGAATTTATCTTAATAGAAAAACATTAAAAAAAATCTCTGGTGAGCTGGACATGGTATGGCACACGTAATTTCAGCACTATAGAGGCTGAGACAGGAGGATCAAGTGTGTTCGAGACCAGCCTGGGTTATACAGTGAGTTCAAGTGCAGCCTGCACTACAAAATTAAAACTTGTCTCACGAAACAAACAAGAAAAAAAAATACAATATATTGAACAAAAAAAGAGAAGACTTAGTGACTATGAAATGACATTATAACATGTAAATTATGAGTATTTGAATCACAAAAACACAGCAAAGAAAGAATAGGACATATTTTGCCTTGGTGATAGGTGTGAATTGATAGATTTGAATTCACTCAACTCTAAGCAGTGGAACAAAAAAAATTCCTTGTGTAGCATAGTTAAACTGCTAAAAATTACTAAAGATAAACATATTAAAGCAGTCAGAGAGTAACAAATCTTGTTGAAGGAGAACAATTATCTATATTAACTTTGTATTAAGTTTTGAATATCTAAAACTGAATAAACATTTAATTACTATAGAAAGATATATAAGTCCATACTTAGTGAGAAATATATATA